AAATATTAAATTTCAGAGTTACAGAAAAGTTTCTAAAACAGTACAGAGAAGTCTCCTTTTATGCAAATTCACCAATTTAACATTTACCAGCATTTCTTCCATCATCATCCTCCCGTCCCTCAGATTACCATTAGTCCTTCTCTGAGAGTGACCCACTCGCACGGCACTCCGGAGTGGCAGACGGTGCCCTGCGCGGCCAGGATCGAACCCTCCGGATCAGGAAGATGGCGTTGCTGTGCAACTGTCCAGGCCTCGCATCCCATTCCGTTTCCCCCCACCAATCCAACAACACCTTCTTTCTGTCCCTCTCGGGTCCAGTCTAGGATCACGTGTCTCCGCACACTCCTTTAATCTGAAACAGTTCTCCACTCGTTCTGACTTTCATTCCCGGGCAGTCTTAAGGAGCACAGGTCTTATATTTCGTAGGATGACCCTCAACTTGGCTTCATCTGCTGTTTCCCGAGGAGCAGACTCAGGCCATGCTTTTCTCGTGTAAATGAGCCAAATTGGGCCTCGTAATTGGCCCCATGTTACTTCTTCACAGCAGCCTGGGACCTGTGAGCTCCAAAGCCCTCCCTTGCCAAACTCAATTTTTTTTAACTTGAAAAAGATGATGTTCCAGTCTACGAGGGCATATTAAGTTATATTGCGCCACAGCCATCAGATAAGAAATAAAAGGCATCCAAATTGGAAAGGAAGAAGTATATAGACACATATCTATATTTCTATATCTGTATTATAAAACTATGAATTTACTCGTACCTCCAATTCAAATCTAATTCTCCTGAATTTCCCCTCTGGCAGTGAGAAACTCAGCTTCTACTTTCTTCAGTATCTTTACACACCTGCTCAGTGTACCCAGCCTCAGCCACACCGCGCCTTCACACTGGTCCTTCGTGTTCCCCCCACCGCTCGGAACTTCAGCCTCCAAGCCTGCCGCCCGCCAGCCCCTGCAGCTGCCCACCCTCCATCCCCAACCACTGCGCTAACGTTCCCCTGCCTGGAAGGGAGGAGATCTCTTTTATAGATTTTTATGTGTAAAAACGAATTCTCAGCTTGGCCGGGCGGGGGGGGAGGGGGCGGGGGGGGCGGTGCTCAGTGAATTGGAGCGTCATCCCAAGCACCAAAAGTGCAGATTCGATCCCCAGTCAGGGCACATACGCAGGTTGCAGATTCAGTCCTTGGTCAGGGTGTGTTCGGGAGGCAACCGATCAAAGTTTCTCGCTCGCTCCCCACCCCACCCCTCCTCCTCTGTCTAAAATCAGTGAACACGTCCTCGGGGGAGGGTTTGATGAAAATGAACGTGTGCACATGCAGCCAGTGGTGTTCTGCGAAGTTGCAGTGAACCCTGAACTAGCAAATCTGAACTAGTGCTCTTAGGAGAAATACAGGGTTAGACTTCGGGCAGTCTCTGGTCTCATTTTTATCATCTGATCAATGCATAGCCTTGTATTATGTGTTTCTGCTCAAGGACACTTTATTGAACCCACATTGTTAGTTCATTACCATCAAATTCATGGCCAGCAGCACCGTGACTCACACCCGAACGAAGATTATCTCATAAGGCACATTTTCTCCATAAGGCACATTATAGCCTTCTCGCACTCAGGGGCTATATTCAATGACAAAATCACCAACAAAAATGCAAAAGTATAAAGGCAGCAAATAGACCCCCCGAAGGACATGCTTTTACAGCGTGAGCTGAAGGGAGAGGCAGGGTGTTACTTGACTTGAGCAGGAAACATGGATGTCAGGCAATTCAAATTGTTCACCGCTCTGCGTGTCCACAAATGGCCACAAAAGCGCCAGCAGCTTTGATTTCAGGGTTTCAAATACATTTTAGCAATTGGGCAAATATGGAATTGGTAAATAAGAGCATTGACTGAACTTACATGTTAAAAAATGAAAACCTGCCAGACAGATGAGGAGGGGCCTCAAATCTGACTTACGCCTTACCTACATTACATTAAATTTTTTTGCAAGGAGAATGGCTTAATATATTTCTTATTTTTAAGATTTGGTTCCTTATACTTTTAAAAAAGCTTTAGGACACAATTTTATTAATTTTAGAGAAGAAAGGGGAGAGACAGAGAAACATCCATCGGTTACCCACCCTGACCCAGGATCGAACCTGCAACCTAAGTATGTGTCCCGACTGGGAATTGAACTCATGACCTTTCAATGTACAGGACAATGCTCCAACCAACTGAGCCACACCAGCCAGGACTGGCTTACTGTATTCCTGATCCATTTATGATTTCATATTGTAAAAAAAAAAAGGGCTCTGGGCTACATCTGGGTCTCTAGGACTTGAAGGGACACCAGGAGTTTTCTTTCTTCTGTCCTGTTGGGCTGTTCTTCTCTGGCCTGAGGGATGGCCCCTCCCTTGCTCCCCCACTAATGTTTTTTCAGGGACTAAGGCCATGGACATGCCACATCAGCTTTGGTCTGCCTGTACGTATGAGGGGGAACCCCAAACACCTGGAATTTATTTATGAAAAGGTGTTTTTATTCTTACATGTTTAAACTTCAGTCACCTTCAAAGTACTATCCGTGTGATGCAACACACCTATCGAGACTTTTTTCCACTGCTCAAAACCATTTTTGACCTCATCTATTTTGATGCATTTTAGTGCTTCTGCCATTTTTTGTTTCACCTCTTTGACATCAGCAAAATGTTTCCCTTTGAGTACTTTTTTCATCCGGGGAAACAGAAAAAAAAAATTACTCTGAGTGAATAGGGAGTGTGGGGCATTTTTAGCTGCTTTTAGTCAAAAACTGCCGAACACTCAGCACAGCATGGGCAGGTGTGCTCATAAGTCACCCATCATGACGTGGGCAAACGTGTTGAAAGAGTCTTCAAAAAAGACATTCATTGGTGCTGAGCACAGCCTCTCACAACACCATTAGCTGGCACACCGATACAGATGGGCTCCTAGAACACTTTCCTAGTGGGCAAGTCTGCACTACCAGGGGCCCACCCTCTAGGAGATAATTCTGCTGTTTGGGGGTTCCAGTGTTTGGGGGGTCCATCATAGACTGCTGGATGAGAAAGGAATACACTTCTATCTTCGAGTTGCCATTATTTTGGACCTTATAACAGCACAGCTCATCCCAAAAGATGGACTCATCCAGAATCATAGCTGTTAATGAAGTTAATTGATCTCTGCCTAAATGGAAACAATCATGGCTATTAGCCAAGACCAACTGGGTGTTTTGATGATCGTTGTTAACGTGTATTGGGCACCAGACACCACGCTTCGCCTGCTGACTCAGCGACCCTCACAGCCACCCCGAGAGGTGGGGGTCTGACCTGACAGACAGAAAGACCCCCAAGACCCAGAAACTCCAACTCACAGCCAGCCAGAATTTGAACCCAGAATGGATTTCAGAGTCTGAGCTTCTCAACAAAGGGCAAAACGTTTGTGTCTGGACACGGGATGCTGGTATGCTTTATTATCAGAACTGACTGGAAGGGTTTCCCAGCTGCTTCCCGGAAAGCGAGTCAGTTCAGGGGTCCAGATCTTCAAACTTGTGAATGCTTTTCTCACTGATGTCTCCGTCAGTCCTCTGTGGAGGAAAAAATCCAGTTGGAACCCGAAAGGTCAGATCTTTCTTCTAAAACGTGCAGTTCTTCGTAGACCTCCCCATAAGCTTCCCTTAGAAGGGGCCATGCCTTGAAGGGCCATTGGAAATCAAATAGCAAGGGAGGTCCTCTCACTTCGAAGGCATAGCAGGTGCCCATGGGGGTCCCTCCTCAAGGAGAGACCGACACACGCAGAACCTGGCTTCTTAAAAACAGGAGAGAGTCCTACCCGGAGCAGCACACCACGTGTCAGACGGAGTCTTCCTGCTGGGGGCTGGAGAGAGGAGAAATACTAGTTACCACGTGGGGGCCTTGAACAACGCGTTCATTCTGTGAGGCCCCCCAGCTACCAGAAGATGAAAACATTCGCAAGTGAATGGACCCATTTATAAATTTGAAAACTTTGAATCCCTCTGCAATGAACTTTAGAGCATCACTGTCCAAGAAGAATATTATGTGAACGACCTACGTACTTTAAAATTTCTAATAGCCACAAAAAAAGAAACTGATGAAATCGATTTAAGTTATGTATTTTATGAAACTCAACGTATCCAAAATATTATCATTCTGACATGTAGTGAATGTTTTAACATATCGATGGGACATGTCACACTCCGTCTGGTGCCGGGCCTCCGAACCCAGCGCGTGTCTTGCTGCACGCCACACCTGCGTCGGGCATAGGGGCCTGCCCCCATCTGTGCTGACAGGCTCTGACCCATCTGTGGTGCTTTGTCAGAGCAGCCCTTGTGTAAAAACACGTGTGTGGGCTGGAGCACCAGAGGAGAGTGAGCTGACCACGGAAGGCTCCCGGTAGCCCCCAGGACAGCTGACCGTGCGTCCTACTCTCTGCCCTCGCCTCGCATCTGGAGACCCGTGGTGTCATGGGGGCTCCTCTGGACGAGACTTGAGGGAAAGGACGGGAAGAGGAGTGGGCAAGAGCAGTGCACGTCTCCATCCCTGACCATCTGTGATGGGCCAACACCACTGACTCCTTGGGTTCCTGACAAGCAATACTCCCCCCACCAACAGTTCCGGCAAGGCCTTCTCCAGATAAGCCACCAGGAAACATTTGGGTGTTCAATGGAAAACCCTATGGGAGTATGGGAGGGTTGCTCTGCTCCATCTTTGAGACAAGTGGAAAAGGCCTGAAGAGCAACTAACAGCACTGGTGGCCGACTGCGAAGGGGTTCACAGTGCCCTGCCGTGACCTTGGCAGAGAGAGCTTGAGTTGAGGACAGACACTACCCAGAACCCACAGTAACTGAGCACATGCATGCACACGTGGCCTCTGCAGTGCTGTTCACGGGGCCTGCCTGCACACGGCGGGGAGACCGCCTGCTGCACTCATCAGAGGCGCAGCCCGGGGAAGCCCGTCTCACCCTCCGGACGGCCAGGAGCCGCTCTGCCAACCGAGTCAGCGGTAGAAGTTGTCTATTTGCTTTTTGTATTTCTGGATGATGAAATGTCTCCTCAACTTTTTTGTTGGACCTGTCAAGGAGAAACTAGTTCAGTTGTGGAGATAAAATAAAAGTCCACGTGCCCCATGCAGGACCAGACAAGAGAGTTGCATCGCCGGGGCTGGCTGGTGACCCCTTCCCGGTGCACCGCCTTTGCCATCACTGGGGTGGAGCCAGTGACAAGGAGAGATCAGGAGACAGCTCACTGGGAGCCGGAGCCGGGCTTCTATTCCCAGAGTGCAGGATGTGGCTGCCCGCCCGGGGAGAGGGGACTCTGTGTATGTGTGTGTGTGGGCGGGGGGGTGTTGCAGGCAGCTGGGCCCCAGTCAGTCGGAAGTGGCAGCATCTCTTTCTGTCCCCAGCTGGTCGCACAGACCCTTTGACCCCCAGAATAGGGCATGTCTCAGAGCCCGTATTGCCTTGGACACTAGGCAGGAACCGGCCTTGAAGTGCCAAGGCCACCAGCTCTCTGGGCCACTCACCCAGCTCTCCGCCTTGCATAGAGAAGTCTTTCTCTAAGAGGATCCACTTCTGAATCTTCTGTGCATTGGAGGTGGCTTTCTGGTTCACAGCCTCTATGCCTTTCTGGATGGCTGCATAGACCAGGGGGTCTTGCAGCCTCACGATCTCACTCACTGTGGACACTTGGCTGCCCAGGCGCTGGCAGAAGTCGATGGCCTCCCAGCTCAGTTTGTCCAGCGGCTCTCCACTTGTCTTGTCCACCTCACACTGCCCCAGGACACCTCTGTCACCACACCCAACCCCGACACACACTCCCCAGCCAGCCCTCAGGTCCAAGAAGGTGGTCTAGAACCCACGGGGGCATGCCCTCCGGACCCTGGGGCAGAGACCCTGCAGGGCGCCCACGTTACCTTCAGGGTCAGCAGCATGCTTAGAAACTTGGCCTTATCCCCCACTAGCAGGGCATTACTGATGATGGGAATCTGCTCTTTAACCATGTTCTCGATGGGAACAGGGGGCACATTCTCGCCGCCAGCCGTGATGAGGATTTCTGGAAAAACACATGGTTCCAGGTGGGTCCCCCCACCCCCGGCCCGCTGGAGGCTCTGAGGGGACAGGTATTGGCTCGGGCAGCCACTCACCTAGAAAACCCAGACACAGAGGAGGAACTCGGCCCTTGGTCGGGACTCCCACCATGCCCTTCTCTGGGCCGCAGCTCCCCTCCCCTATTTTCTCCAAATTCCCACAAGGCATCCAAATCCCGTGCATCCCAGTGGGACAGCGACTTACTGATTCACCAACTACTTCTCAGTCCCCCAGACCCTGGCCCAGGCCCTCTGATATGTCTGGTTTGGAAGACAGCGAGATGCTTCTGGCCAACCCTGTCTCTCTGCCTCCTGATTTTTCCATCACTTGGCAACCCCAAAATAACCTAAATCCAGTCTTACCCCGGGGTTTTGTGTCACATCCCTAAGTTTGGCATGTCTAAAAACGCTGTGTCACTTTCTCCCCTGAGCCTCTAAAGCTCCCCAAGAGCTCCTCCTCCTGCCCCAGACGCATGCTTCACTTGTTCTCTCACCCTGGGACACCGGCCGCTTCCTGTCCCACCCACCCGAGCTCTCCCCACCTCATTTCAGGGTCTCGCAGCCACCTTTACACCTTTACAGATGTCGTTCTAGCATTAGTGATAACAGCATCACGGAATGGACATCTGCGGTGCTGTCTGCCCAGTGACTCCTCCCTGGGGTAAATGCTCCCCCTGAAGTTCCCCTGAGGGAACCATTCTCCATCTTTATGTGGTTTGGGCAGGTGAACCGCAGGGTGAGCATGAGACCGGGGCTGACCCATGAGCGTATCCTGTCCTGTATGGTAATTCATTCTGCGATGGTACCCAGTGAGAGGCAGGACTAAACTGTTGCTGAAACTACTGGAAATAACAGACCCTTATCCCTTGGGGGTTCGGGTAAACCTAGTCTGTTGGCAGCCATCCTGGAAGCAAATAGAGAAAAGCCTATTTAAGAATGGCCCCAACACAGAAGATAGCTCAGTAAGAGAAGGATAAAGAGATTCCTTGTGCCCTTGTTTTGGCACCTGGATCCAGCCATGCCTGAAGCAAGAACTTTGGGGTTTTCAGTTTTTAAAACAAGTTCCCCTTTTTTCACTCAAACCTGCTTAAGAAGGGTTTTCGGTTGCTCACCATGGAAATAATGCTAACACAGTCTACTTATTGAGGAGTTACTCCCTGTGTCAGGCTCAGTGCCAAATGCCCTGTCTACATCAGAGGTGGTAACCTACAGCCTGAGAACCGAATCCAGCCTCCCGCCTGCTTTTGTGTGGCCACCAGCCAAAAATGGCTTTTACATTTCTAAATGGTTGGAAGGAAATCCACAGAAGGATAATATTTATGACACGTGAAAATTATATGACATTCATACCGGCACACAGCCACATCCATTTGTCTACGTATTGTCTGTGACTGCTTCCGTGCCACACTTCTGCCAAGTTGTGTGGCTGTAGCAGAGACCACATGTCCCACAAATCCAAAAATATTTACAGTTGGACCCTTTACAGGAAAAGCTGGCCAATCCCTGTTCGACATTATTTCATTCAATCCTCATTTAATCGTTATAACTGTAGATTATTATCATTATTCTCAAACTGCAGGGCAGGAAACAGGTTTCGGGGCGGGGGTGGGCACCTTGCCTAGGTCCATCCTGCCGAGGGCCAGATGCGGGGCACAAGGACAGAGCGGGGACGTGCAGAGCAGGGTGACCCGTATAGCTCTGTGATGCCCCCGTGGGAGGTGGGAGCTGCGGGCCTGGGCTGCGCTGCTGCGCCAGGTGCCCCAGTGTTCGGGGCGGACCTGCCTGCGGGAGAGCCCTGCAGAGCCGTGCCCGTACCTTTAATGCGGCCAGTGATGTAGAGGAAGCCCTGGTTGTCCATGCGGCCCAGGTCCCCGGTGTGCAGCCAGCCCTCCTCGTCGATGACCTCCATGGTCTCGTCCTGTCTTTCCAGGTAGCCCATGAAGACATGCCGGCCCCAGATGCAGATCTCCCCGATGCCGTCGTTGGACTGCTGGTACAGCATGTTTTTACACCCACTTAGGATTTTGCCGCAGCTGCCAATGAATGGGAGGGGGGAACCGAGTCTCAGAGAGACAAGGTCCCCGACACAAGTCTGCCTTGGTCTGTAGCCCGGGTTCCTCACACGCTGCCCAGCAGGCCCGGGCCGGATCTGCTTCTTCCACCCTCTCCAGGACCTGAGGGGCGCAAGGTGGTGTTTGCCCAGTGAGGGGCGAGGGAGTGTTCCATCCTGGGAGTAAAATTCCCAAGCACTTGGTGAACCGGGAGGCATAGCAGAGTTGTCGGTTTTAACCTCCACATGAACGGGAGGACGACAGAGTGCACCCGGCCTAAGAATAGCAGCGAAACAGCCTCATCTTTTGGAAAACAGATGTATAGTCCTGCACGCAACGACTAGGACATCCAACCAGAATCTCTTCAGAGGCTGAAGTTACTTCCATTACATAGAATAGCACCCCCTGAAATCTGGATTCTTGTAAACTTCTCTTCCTGCCGATAACACTTGGGAGGGTGGTTTCATTGTAGAAGGCAGAAAAGAAAGTATGACAGCTACACCGAGATCTCTTTCGCCAGCAGGAGGGCCAGTGGTTTTAGGGCTGATTGTAGGGATTTCCTTAGTTAGCAGAAGAGAAAGGCACACCCAAGCAGCTCAGAATTTAGTAAGAGCCTCCTTATGGTGTCCCCACTGACGGTCTTTCTAAGAATGTGGAAAAACACAGAAGCCATAAAGAAAAGATTGATAAATTTAACCATGTAAAGATTTTTTAAAATCTGCACAGCAAAAAACACCTTATCTAAAACAAAATACCTATAATAAACCTAAGGGCGGAATATTTGCCACTCATGAAAAAACAAAGGCTGATGTTCCCCGTATATCGAGTGCCAACAAGCCAATAGTAGAGGGACTGGTAACCTAGTTTTAGGAAGAGGCAGATGATATGGACAGATAATTCAGAGGAAAGGAAATACGAAGGGCTTTTAAATGTAAGAAAGGATTCTTTTCGACTTCATTTATAATAAAAGGAATGTCAATGAAAGTTGTGAAGGGATCCCATTTTCCTCCAACGGTTTAGCAAAAATATGGTGTATATACAAAGCACTCACTTTAGCATTGTTTATGGTGACAAATAATGGAGGAATAAAAAGCCCCAAATATCTACCAAAAAAAGGACCAACTAAATAAATTATGGTATACCCGCCTGGTGGACTACTACGCAGTTGTTAAAAATGTGGCAGCTGTCTGCACTGACAGGGAACATTCTCCATAAGGACGCCTTACCAACCAGAAGTGTCTGGCTCCTGAGCTTCTGTGGTGTGAGTCAAGACTGAGGGGAGGTTCGTGTTGTGAACCCAGGTAGTGAGGGATATCGTGTCATCTGAGTTGTTTTGGTTCCTGAACTCATCACAGAAAGGGTGGGTTTTGTGTCCATTTTTGCATGGGAAATGCTTCTGTTTGGGCTGAAAGGAGAGATGCCAACACACCCGAGTGCCGGGTTCATTTAGAAGAATATGATGTGGTTATTTGGCCTCCGGGAGAATATTATGGGTTGAATTGTGTCTCCCCATGCATATTTTGCATCCCAACTGCCAGTAGCTCAGAATGTGAGCTTATTTGGAAACAGGGCCTTTGTAGGTGTAATTGGTTGAATTAAGATGCGGTCATCTGGAGGAGCACGGCCCCAAATCCAGTCTGACTGGTGTCTTCACTACAAAAGGGGAAATTTGGACACAGACAACACATGGGGGGTGCCGTGTGGAGACGAGGCAGAGACGAGGGTGATGCTTCTACAAGCTGAGGACGCTGCCGGCTGCCAGTGACCCCCCGAGGCTGGGAGAGGGCGTGGAACAGATCCTCCCTCACAAGCCTCAGAAAGGCCCAGCCCTGCCGACACCCAAGCCTGGACTTCGAGTCTCCAGGTTGTGAGGAAATTGATTTCTGTTGTTTCAGTGTGGGGAACTTGGTCACGGCAGCCCCTGAGAACTCACCCAGGGTGAATGGGAGGAGAAGGGAGGGGAGGAGCGTCTCATGCTATCATTTCATGCCTTCTGCCTTCGTGTGTGTATGTGTGTGTGTGTGTGTGTGTTCCCCATCGAAAAAAATAGTTAAAGGTAGAGGCTGGAGTTGTATCTTTCCTCTGGGGTTGGGACTGTGTCATTCCTCTTCAGGGGAGGACCACCCTTTAGTTTTGGAAAAACTCTGGTGGACGTTTGGGTTCTGCAGAAAGCAGACCTCAGATAGGACTATGGAGTGGAGAGGGGGAGATACTGAGGTGCAAATCTCCCCTGCAAGGCAAAGTAAAAGGCAAGAGATGATTTTGCTAGATTAGGAAGATTGAACTTAGTTTTTGCTAAGTGCAAAGGCAGTTGGCACCTGGCCAAGCATGAGACACAAGCTGGACTTGCAATGGGGAAGGAAGAGAGACAACCAGAAGGTTTGGGAAGGAACGTGGCTCTCAGCCTGGGACGGACTGTGCCTTCGGTATTCTCACTGTGTCAGCATTACTGGTGCAGTCCTGCAGCCCGGGGGGAGCTGAGCTTGGTAGAGGGCCACAGGGGGGCAGCGGACGTGTTTGAGATGGCATGTCCTAGAGATGAGGGGTCCTGAGGTCCTTGCACAGGAGCCCGGGGCTGTCTGTCTGGAGGCAGAACTCAGCAGTGGCAGTCAGGGGGAGACCATGGAATGCTCTGAGCACCCTTCCCCATGGCAGAGGACCCTCTGACAAACGGGCTTCCCACGGTCATGAAGATTTGGGGCTTGGGAGCTGGAGAACAGGGCTCCTTCTGGAGACAAGTCAGAATTCATCCTAGCGCAGAGCCCATGCGCCCTCCCAGCTCCCTCCCCCGCCCCCGACCCGTGTGGTTGGAGAGCTGGGGTCTGCCCTAGAGGCCATTACCTTAGAAGCCTGTAGTTATCCTCATTGGACATGGTGTGAGGTCCTGTGCTTTCGCTCATACCGTACATCTCGCCTATAGGTATGTCCAGGCTTAGAAAGAACTCAGAGGTCTCGGGGCTCAGGGGCGCAGCCCCACTGATAAAAGAGTGGCAGTGATCAAGGCCAAGGGTGTTCCTGACTTTGCTGAACACGAGTGCCTTTGCCATGCGGTAGCTCATGGGTGTGTCATGTGTCCTGTGAACAATGCCAAGGAGAGCTCTTTAGCCTTGGGTCCAAAATGGGCTGATGGGTCCCAGCTGGAGAAGGCTGAGCCCCTCACCCATCACCCTCCCCACCCAACTGACTGGACGCTCCACCTACCCCAAACCCAACATCCTTTTTGTATTGATCTTTAAGCCAACAGTTCTTGCCCATGAAAACACCTTCTTCTTCAAGTTTGAGGATTTGGTACCATTTTCCTTTATCTTCTCCTGTATCTTCTCCCAGATTCGGGGCACCCCCATGAAGGCAGTAGGCTTTACCTCCTGCAGAGTGTTGACCAAGGTGCCCTGCATGGGACAGAGCTCGGTTAGCCATGCCTGAACCTTCCATGAACCCCAGATGTCCATCCCTGCCCAGCTACTCAACTCAGCCCAGGAAAACCTTCTCTTGGCTGATTGGACCAGGCTGAGCAAGCCAATCGATTGGCTGGTCAGTAACCAATAAGATTTTCTCCCTCTAGAGTGGAGAGTGGCAGGCTGGTAAAAAATCTGTTGCCCAAGCATGCAATGAAATATTATGCAACTGTTTCAAAGGGTGCAAAAGTCCCTCTAAACTGATCTATAGGTTCAATGCTATCCTTACCAAAACCCAGGCAGGCTTGTTCATACAGATTAACAAGCTGATCTTAAAATTGATATGGAAATGTGGAGGATCTAGAATAGCCAAAGCAATTTTGGAAAAGAACAAAATCAAAAGACTTCCTATCTGATTTTGAAATTTATTATTAAATAGGGTCACGAACCATCCTGGTTTACCCAGCACTAAAGCAGTTCCTGGAATGTGGAATTTAAAATTATGAAACCAGTAAAGTCCCCGGCAAATAGGACAAAGTAGTCATCCTACCACAAAGCCAGAAAAAACAAGTTTGTGTGGCCTTGGTGTAAGGACAGACGTATAGACCACTGGGACAGAACAGAAAACCCAGAGATGGGTCTTCACATTTGTGATCAACTGACAATCACAGTGCTCGGGCAACTGAAAGGTGCAATGGATATTCACATCTCCCCCCCAAAAGTAAAAATGAAATTAATAACTTAACCTAGAGCCTTACTTCTCGCCAAACAGAAAAATAAACTCAAAATGGATCACCGATCTAAATGTAAGACCTGAAACCAGAAGGCTTCTGGAAGAGCACACAGAAGAAGATCTCTGTGCCTTGGGCACAGGCAGTGATTTCTTACATACAACACCAAAAGTGTGAAAAAGAAAAAGAAATTGGACCTCAGAGTCAAAGCAAAAAGACAAGCCACAGATCTGGGAGAAAGTATTTGCAAATCATATATTTAAGAAAGAATTTATACCCAGAACAAATGAAGAACCTTTAAAACTCACCAATAAGAAGATATACAACCACATTTTTAAATGGGCAAAGATCTGAACAGTCTTTTTTCCAGAGAAGATACATGAACAGCCAACAAGCACATGAAAACTGGTTCACTGCCATGAGTCGCCAGGGAAACGGCCATTCAAGCCATTCAAGTGACGGGATGCCACTTCACACCCAGCAGGTGGGCAGTAATGATGACGATGGCCACAGGGGTGTGTCGGCGAGGAGGAGGAGACAGCAGAACACTCACACTTCTGGCAGGAATATAAAGTGGTGTGGTCACTTTGGAAAAGTCTGGCAGTTCCTTACACTGGGACAGACATGCTTCTCACCCTTCAGGTTGATTATCTTAAAGTTTTCTGGCAATATTACGAGGTTGATAGGGAGGTGGGAGGATGGGAACTTCCCAGGTTCTGGAGGTGAGGGTGTGCATACACATTTTGCATTCAGCCAAAAAATGAAAGTATTGATTGAAAAGTATTGAGTAAAGAAAGTGGCTGCTACACCTCAGACACTGAGCTTGGGGCAGGTGAGAGGGGCCAGGAAGAAATTTAAGCAGAGAACTAAATGACAAGGAGTCATCAGCCATTCAAAGAACAGGAGAATGAACCTTCTAGAAGGAAGTACAAAGGCCCTCAGACAGCCTGTTTGGTAGGGTGTGGAAGGCAGAATCAGGACATTCCCAAAGATATTCACGTCCTCGTCCCAGACCTGTGACTGTTATTTTCACAGCAAAAGGGACTTTGCAGATAAGACTAAGTTAGGGGTCTCGAGATGCGTTTGGTTTGGGGAACTTTTGGGAGCTGGGAATACTGACTTTAAAAACAAACAAACTACACACACATTCTGCTTTCAATCTCATTCACATCTTAGTCTTGGGTTGGTCAGTGTGCACTCTACACAGACACCATGACTTGGGGAAAGATAGGAAGTACAAGAATGTGGCTGTTTCCGATGCTGCTAAGTGATGTATGAGACGGGGACAAGAAGGAAGCCCTAGAATTGGGGCCTCGTGCAACCACCCACATGCCCAGGCTGCCCCGGCCTTACCCTGAGCGCGTCCGGTTGAGCAAAGTAGGTGAAAGCCCCGATCTTCATGGGCACCCAGACATCCATCATCTGAGCTGCAATGTGGCTGAGGGGAAGATAGCTAACCACCACCTCCTGCTTTTCTGGGGCACAAGACAGGCTGTAGTCCCTCGCCACCATCCCGGCCAACCACGTGATCTGGAACACAAGTGGGACTCACAGTCCAGGGTGGCTCGTCCCGGCCGGAGGGCCACATAAATGCACATCTCCCACAGACACCTAAAAAGCATTGACCAGGTGGTGGGCACTACCCTTGTCCTTTACCAAGTTTCAGTTCTTAAATTGTCATCATAACATGCGGGGGTCCACAACTCGGTGGTCCCTACTTTACAGAGAGAACACGGAAGCACAGAGAGGTAACTAACTTGCCCGGGGCTGGAAGGGGCTATGACATTCAGCAACAGCTTTGGGTCCAACAGCAGATCCTACAGTCAGACCATCGATCCAGAAAGTTACATATCCGAAGGCCTCAGTCAGTGTCCCTGAATCAGATCCTGACTCCGCCGTTTGCTTAGCCGAGTGACGCTGGGCTGTTTGCTGACGATCTCTTGCAGCCTCTAGTTCCTCATCCGTAAAACGGGCCCAGAGGTGACTCCTCCCCAGCACAAAATTCTGGGACCACCGTTGTCCAACGAACAAAGAGGCCATCCAGAACCCCACCCCACAAACACCCAACAGTAAGCATATTAATGTTTTTCTCCAACTCACGCCTCGATGGAAAGTTTTAGCGTGCCTACTATTTGGCAATCTGTATTTCTCAGTGCTGTCGTCAGTCTCTGGTAAGCAGTTATTTCATTAACCCAGCAGCACGGGCCTCTGCACCGTTCCTCCAACTCATCAGACAGGGTCTGGCTCAGGCCTTTGCACTGGCCGCCCCCTCTGCCTGGGCTGTTGTCTGTCCAGCCTTCCCCATGACTGACTCCTTCTTACACGTCAAGTTTCCACTTAAACGTCCGAGGTGCAGAGAGGGTCTCACACCCACCAAACCAAAGTTTCCGTTGCCTACTTCTCTGCAAACCACTCACCATTTCCTGAATGGTTTTGTTTTACTTTATTTAAAATGTTTTCCTTATTCCCAGCCCTACACCCCTCTCTCCTTTGGCAACCATCAGCTTGTTCTCTCTGTGAGTCTGTTTCTGTTTTGTTCACGTAGTTTGCTCTTCGAGTCCACACGCAAGTGAGGTCATTGGTCTCTCTCTGTCTTAGTTCACTCAACATAATGGCCTCTAGGTCCGTCTGTGTTGTCACAAATGGCAAGATTGCATTATTTTTCATGGCAGTGTAACATTCCATTACATATATAAATAAATATATGCCCCATTTTCTTTATCCACTTGTCTATTGATGGACACTCAGGTTGCTTCCATATCCTGGCTATTGTAAATAATGCTGCAGTGAACGTAGGGGTGCCTTTATCTTTAGGATTAGTGTTTTGGATTCTTTGGGCAAATACCCAGAAGAGGAATTGCGGGTCATATGACAGTTCTATTTTTAATTTAATTAATTTTTTTGAGGAGCCTCCATACTGTTTTCCGTGGTGGCTGAGCTGATATGTGATCCCCCCAACAGCGCACAAGGGTTGCATTTTCCTCACATCCTCGCCAGCACTTGCTCTTCGTTGGTTTACTGACGGCCGTTCTGACGGGGGAGGTGGTGTCGCATCGTGGTTCTGATGTGCATCTCCCTGAAGACCAGGGATGCCGAGCATCCTGTCGTGTGTGTGTGTTGGCTATCTGGCTGTCATCTTTGGAGAACAAGTGGCTTTATGTGTTCATTCCCTCTCTGTCTTTCTGGGCCCACAGTGGGGTCCGTTTGCTCAGTGGCGTACCCCCAGCGCACAGTCCGTGCTCAGCACATTTGGTTGAATAAATGAGTGAAGGACAAGATAGAAGGGCAATAATGTATTCAAAGCTCTTGGCCTGTAGGAGGCCCTCAAGGCTAGTCCCACTTCCCTCTCTGGGCCGTGGGACGGAAGGGTCTTACTTCTGTCCCATCAGCACTGTCACTCACAGCCTGTGCCCCTTGGCACCCCGCACCCACTTATTGAGGGGCAAGGCTTGGCGTGTGTAGGCCGCGAGGTACAGCGGTACGGACACTGCTGGGTTCAGAGCCTGGCTCAAACCTTCTTTGTTCTGTGACCTTGAGCACGTCATCCACGTCATTTCCCCTCTCTGAGCCTCAGTTTCCCCATCTGTGGAAGGCATTAATGACTCAACTTACCTCGTGGGTTTCCGTGAGAGGTGAACGTGTGTTCATCTCAGCAGGGCACACGGTCATGCCCGACACGTGAGAGAAGCTTCGAGTTGCTGGCATGTGTTGAGGACACTGGGCTAGCTTTAACTTCTTAGTATCAAGAGGATGATGAGGATGGTTTTAAAAATAGCAGTAGCTAGTGCTGACATGGCGCACTGCGTGCCAGGTGTGGCTCTAAGAGCGTTGTTTATGTGCGGTGCATTAGAGAGGGCCCCGAATTCTCTGCCGCCCTTGTCTGCAAAGCTGGGTCTGTTTTCCTTTCCTCCCAGAGGACTGGTTCTGTGACTTGTTGACCAACAGAAGAGCAGAATGACACTGCCACTTCTGACACTGAGCCTTGGTAGACCGTAGCTTCTGCTGCGGCAAAAGGCAGTGTTCGCCCTGGGGAAGCCAGGAGCCGTGTCAGGGAAGCCAGGAAGCCGCATCAGGGGGTTCAGCAGCCCTGAGCCGCTGTGCTGTGAGGACGTGCAGGCCACAGGGGACATGGGAGTGAAGTCCTTCCTGGACTTTTCTGCCCAGCCCAATGTCAGCTGAATGCGGCTGAACGACCCCAGCTGACCTGTGTGGGGCAGGAGCAGCACCCTTCTGGGCCCTGCCCACATTCCAGATCCAGATAGTCACACTGTTGGTGTTTTAGGTCGCTAAGTTCTAGAATGACTTGTTACGCAGCAGTAGCTAACAACATAGTACATAAAATAATTTAACCCACGTGGCAGCTCTCAGAGTAGAAACATTCTCATCTCTGTTTCACAGGTGGGGAAACGGAGTTTCAGACGAGTTAAGGAGAGTGTCCCGGGCCACACCGCTAGGAAGTGGGAGAGCCAGCACTCGAGCCCAGGAGGCCTCGCTCCAGGGTCTATGCTTCTCACTTTAAGGCTTGGAAAATATCTTACCAGATATGAAGCCACTAGGAGTATAAGTGCTGGCCAGGGCCAGGTGGGAGTTTAATCAGATGCCTTTCATTCATTCATTCACTCATTCATTCCACAAAAGTGGACTGAGCCCTCCTATGTGTCAGGCACTGAAGACACAGCAGTGAGCAAGACAGACAACCCCTGCCCTGGAGAAGCTGATGTTCATGATAAACAAGTGACTATATAATATGACAGTATAAAAGCAAAACAGTGGCCAGAGGAGATGAGGGATCAATGGAACAGTTTATTGTTTGCTATTTTAACCATGGAAACTAGGGAGGACTTCGTGGAAGAGGTAGTGTTTGAACAGGGATGGGTAGGAGGGTAAAGGAGCAAGTGTGTAGCTCTCTGATATGTGGAGGGAATGGCCAGTGCAAAGACCAGTGTGTGCTGGTAACCAGTAAGCCAGGTCAGAGGGAAAAGCTCTTACAGAGCTGCAAAGCTTCATTTAAAGACTAGCAATCTTTCTGACTCATGGGGGAACAGCCATGGCTAGGTGGGTGCGTGTGCTGCCAGACACTTTTCTGCTTTCAAACTCAGCACGTGTGCACACCACTTGCTGCCTTTTTCAGTTTATAACAAAAATCGTATTGTGCTCTGTGTACTGTTCTGCAGCTACCTCTTATGTGTCCACATTGCATCTTTGGACACCTCACATTAGCCACATTGATCCACAGCGCAGTTAAATATGTGACCGTGGAGCCCGCTTGCCTGGGTGCAAACCCCAGCTCTGCTGTGTTGCTTGCTGTGTGACCTGGGCCAAGTACTTTAACCTCTCTGGGCTTCAGTTTCTCATGTGTAAAAATAGTATCCGCCTGACAGAATCAGTAGAATCGCTGTGAGGCTTTACTAAGTGTAAAACTCGGAACAGTGCCTGGCGTCAGTGACCATGCTACATAAGTGAGATGTTACCATCTCATTCTTTTTTTAAACAGCTTATGGAGGTGTGATTGACATACAGTGGACTGTGCACATTCGAAGTGCGCGAGCTGACACAGGTCTGCACCCGTGAAACCGTCACCATCATCAAAATATGAACATTGTCCTCACCCCCCACAAATGTCCACGTGTCCCTCTGTGGTGCCTTCCCAGGGCCCTCCCCAGGCAACCCCCAATCTGCTTTCAGTCCCTGTGGACAAGTTTGCATTTTCTAGGGTTTTCTATACATGGACTCTTTTAGCATGTATGTCCTCTTATTTCAAAACAGTCATCTAAATGACCATCAGCCATCCAGACGTCCGTAAGCATCCCCCCAAAACACACAGGAAGAGGAATCAAAACCTCGACTTGTACTTATCTCTGATACACAGGACATATTCGCTGCTCTTGCACGTACTTACCAAACACAGTTCCTAGCTCTTTGCAGATATTAACTAATATCATCTTCAGAACAACCCACAAGGCAGGGACTGTTATATGTCACATCCATTTCCCAAAGAACTGAGGTTGGAGATGTCACATGTCTTGCCCGAGATCACAGAGTCAGGTGTGGGCCCACATCTGCTCCAGGGTCCTCGATCTCAACCCCTGCCCTCCACTGCCCCTCGTAAGTGTCCACGTGACTCTCTGCATGTCGCTTGTTAAAGGCTGTGTGCTAGACCCCTAAATGCCACACTGCCCCTGAGGGTCAAGAGCAAAACATCCTGAAGGCCATTGTCCCTGAAGGAAGGGTTCCTGGGTGCTACCAAGCTGGTAACTGTGGGCAGAGACAGCACTTACGTTGTCATGGCTGAGCATCACTCCTTTGGGGTTGCCCGTGGTCCCGGAAGTGTAGATGAGCACAGCACACTGATTGGCCTTCTGGCTCGCTATGATCTGGTCCAGCTGGGAATCAGTGATGCTATTGCCGAGTTCCATGAATTCATCCCACTGTGGAAAGGGAAGACAAGCAGAGGGCGGAGGACTCAGGGAGTGTGAGAAGTGACCTCAGAATGCCAGGCATTCCCTCTTCCCAGTCAGAGCTCGTCCCATCAGCCTCTCCGAAAGCTTGGTTTTCAGCAAGAGGAAAGGTTCATTAGGGTCGCCAGTCCTGGGTCCTCTTACCAAAGCTGTCGTTTCAGCTGGAGGGCGCTCAGCAGCCCACAGGTGTGTGCTGCTGGCTGCTGCACCCCGCGCAGGCCACGGAAGCTCCCTGTGCCTCAGACTGCTCGTTTGTAAGATGGGAATGGTATCAGAACCCAACTTCTTGGGTTGTTCTAAGTAGTAAATGAATATGTGTAAAATGCTTAAAATGCTTAGACAGTGGAATTTCATGTTATTTGATCTCTGCTTTCCCAGATTTCACTCTGTACCCCAAATTTCTCAGTGACCAGATTGATGGGATCAACTCCACCCCAACTGCAGGGTCAACCCTGATTGGTTTAAGGCAGAGAGTTCCATCTGCATTGGCCCTCTGATTGGATTGGGTTGGGGTATGTGACCTCAGATGGTCCAATTACAGAGCAAGTCGGGTCTTTTGCTATTAGTGCTATCTGGACAAGAATGAGTAAAAATGTAGCCCTAGGAGCTGCTGGACCATCTCTGGACTATGAGGGAAAGCAAGGCTAGAGTGGAGTCGAGAAACCAAGAGGGGCCTGGCCGGGTTGCTCAGTTGATTAGAGCATCATCCTGATATACCAATTTTGCCGGTTCAATCCCTGGTCAGGGAACATACGAGAATTGGCCAATGAATGCATAAATTAGTGGAACAACAAGTCAATGTCTCTCTCTCTCTCTTTCTTTCTCTCTCTCTCTCTCTCTCCCCTTCTCTCTCTAAAATCAATAATAAAAAGTATAAGAAATGTGTAGATTTTTAAAAAAGAAACCAAGAGAGCAAAATGGAGCTTGGGTCACATTTGAGCCCCTAGTTCTAGCCATGCCTGAAATCCACACCAAGTTATAGTTACATGAGTCAACAAATTATCTTTTTGCTTAAGCTGCACCCTTCATACCAAAAAAAAAGCCTCTCAAAGGCCCCCCACTCCCCTTGGGGAGCCTGACCTTCTCCCAGCTCACTACCCACTTCCTTTGAGCATCCCCCCTCCCCTTGACCCCCTGCCCCCTCCCACACTTACAGAGTACAGGTTGTTTTTATTGCCCTTGTTCATTGGCAGCTTGTACTGGATAATCGCTTTTAAGCTCTCCATCCTGCTCTGTGGAATCTGAAAGGAAGTTCAGTGTGGGCCTCAGGACAACCCAGCCCTGGGAAAACAGACGCTGGTGGGTGTCCTGAGCTCTCTCCTGCTACAACCCCGGCCTCTTTTTATTCCCCTCTTTTCTTTTCTGTGTAACATTGTCCCTTGTCTTGACTGGTTTTAGGATTGCTGGGTTCTTTGTGGCAGTATCAGCAGCCCCAACAAGTAACGGTGGCTGAAGACAGCAGCCTCACAAAGCCACGCGCCTCAGGCTGAAATCTGCCGTGAGCCACGAGCTGCTGGGCAGGCAGCTTGCACTGTGCGGCCAAGTCCAGTGAACACTCCTGTCTGAGCCAGGCCCCAGAAGTCCTCCGTGCAGGTGGCTGGGACTGGGCGGGCTCAGAACTCTCTGCCTTTACCTGGAACTGTAAGGCTTGGGGGCCAGGTCAGTGAGGTGCTTGTACCCTCTTCATGCACACAAGGAGTGTGCATTGCCAGCCAGTCCAATGAGACAGCCCCTTCCAACACTCACTGTGCTCATCACAGTTACAGCCACGTCGCTGGCAGGACAGATGTGCTCCTGACAGCCAGACAAGAGTTTCCCAGAGGGAGAGAACTGACATCCAAACACAGGGGGTGGGCAGGAGCCCGGGATGTGTGAGGGAGAGACAAGCTCAGAAAGGCGGGGCTGGGGAGGCAGGGAGAGGAACAGGGGAGGAGGCAGGGGAGGACTGTGAGGGCCTCGTGGCCACCTTGGAGGCTATGACGAGGAGTTCAGGGCTGCTTCTAAGGAGGCAAGGAGCGCTGGAGGATTGCGAGCCATGAGTATCGCCCAGACTGAGATCGCCCGGTGGGGCTGAACACGCAGTTTGGGAGGGCGTGTCAGGGGCCTGGCTTCAACTCTGCCACATGGAGCAACCAGACCCACAGATGCCCCATGAGCAGCACCTTCGGTCCAACGATGAGATGGAAGCAACCCCAGCGTTGCTCCATGCCTGCAAAGTCACGTGCACCAGCAGCAGGACAGGAAGGCATAGCTGTGACGCGGGTGCACCGTGGAGAAAGGGACACGTGCATTTTGTAACAGTGGAGAACCCCAAATTGCAAGCCAGCATTCACGGCGAGAATGAGAAGCACTCGCTTATCGCCCACCCCGCGGTGTGTTCTGCTGTGAACAGACAGGGCATGACACGCACTCCACGGACCACAGAGGCATCGTGTAAGGAAGCAGTTTCAGAGCAGCTCAAGGCTGGAGGTAGAAGCCCGTCCTTCCTGAGCCAGGTCCGATGGAGGCCTGGTGGCACAGCGTGTTCTGTGTCACCAAGTCCAGCCAGGAGTTCACCGAGCCTGGTAAATGTGCCCTAATTTCAGAGACATTAAAATGTGGGAAAACATGGCCAGTGATGATCTGGGAGGACGATGTCGATGGCGAGACACACCTCGACTCCAGAGACGTTAAAAAGTGGAGCAGTATGTAACTCGGGAGTGAAGGAATGTTGCACAGCAGCCCCAGTGGCCCTGAGGCTGAGCGGTGAATCTGGCCACCGAGGCTCACCCTCCCCAAACTCCTCTCCCCTTTGCATCTTCCTGCCAAAAGTTGGTCCGGGAAACTGCAGCCCATTCAAACACACGGAATTGGGAATGTTTCTACAATACTCATACAAAGACACTGCAAGGAAAAAAAGAGAAAATAAGAGAGAAGCCAAAATTCACCAAGTCACTACAAAGCAAAGGAAAATTGCCACCCAGCATTCCAGCGTACGAGTTCAAACCTAACGAAGTAAGCGCAGCTGGGAAGGAGGAACGCAAAGCAGACCCATGAGCGAAGAGAGCACCGGACACTGGGTGGAAGCGAAACAGGAGGTGGAAGAACTGGGGAAAGAAATAGACCAGAAAGACAAAAGCACTGCAGAAATGCAGACAGTTATTTATAAGAAAATTATAAGGCTCACAATAATCACGCTTCTAAAAGAATAATAGCAGTGGCCTGTATATAAAACTATGCATAGATGCATTTTTTAAATGGAGGTTGAGGAGGAAACTAAGTTAACAAGAGTTGGAAATTAAACTCCCCCAGTGCACCCGGCTCCTCCCAAGTGCTGCTTTGCCAGTTACACTAAAGCAGCGGCGGCTCTTCCTGAACCTGTGCGTGCAGCAAACCCCACCACCCCACCCGATTACTAGCTTCTGCCTGGGAACGCAAAGACACCTGGTCAGAGCCTTGAGGCCCCCTGGGGTGACGGCAGGCAGTGCTGGGTGGGGCTTACCGAGAGAATTTTCTGTAGCTGTATGTCATTCTCCACCAGTAGGACGTTCACTTTGGCATGAGCGATGACATACTGACAAGCCTCCGCGGAGTTGGTGGCATAGATGCCGACACAGAGGCCCCTGGGAAAAGAAAGCACCCGTGCCGGTCGTGTGCACACGGGGAGGGCTGCGTGTGCTGGAGGGAGGGCTGGGGGGGCGCGTCTACAGGCAGCTCTGAGTCTGCAGCCTGGGCCCAGTCTCCCCCCACAACCTTACAATGACAAACACGACACACGTGGTCGTGAAGATGGAAGCAGCGACTCCTGGGGTGTCCTTGTGATGTCCAATCACGGGGCCCGCAGCACCCCGCTTTATAGACCAGGAGACTGACAGCCCGGGCGCTGAAGCCGCCTGCAGAGCGCCACCGCAAGGAGCAAGAGCACCGGAGGCGGCATTCGGACCCTGTCCGGCGCCTGTTTGCCTTTCTTCCCCCTCTCGTTCCTGCTTTCAGCCGCTGAAAGCAAGCACCTTTCAAGCCCTTTTGTGAGTAGCCTTTTGTCTGTTCACAGCCGGAGCCCTAGAAGTTCCTTCCACACTGGAGACACCAAACTTCAGTCGGGCTCATGGATTTGTGTGTCTGTCCCAGCTGTCCACCTGCGGCTGGTCTGAGCCCCCTTCACATCTCAGTGGGGACTAGCCCAGGGCTACCAGGCCCCGAGTGGCAGCTCGCCAAGGTGACAGGGAACAGCGCACGCTCTTACCCTGCTAGGATGGCACCAAGATAAGCAATGAACCACTCCACAGAGTTGAACCCCAGGATGCCGACTCCGTGGAACCGCTCCAAGCCCAGCTGGGGAAGCAAAGACAAACAGATGAACAGGAAATGGAAACAAGGAGTCGCTTTGCATCTGGTGGACGGCGCTCCCTGGGTGTGGGAGAGCACCTTCCCAGCCCACGGGCGTGGCGGAGAAGCCAGTGTGCGGGCTAAAATCTGGGTACGAGGTTTTCGTTACTCCAGGGAGACTGGTTTGCCTCTGTCTACGTAATAGGCCATCGATTTATTTTTATATGTTTGATTTTTATTGTGGTAAAGTACTTACAGCATGAATGTACCTTTTTAGCCAATTTTAAATGGGCTCAATGCTACTGGCTGCCGCTCAGCAGCGTTAAGTCCACTCCTGTGGTGCGACATCCCACATTCCATCTCCAGAACTTTCTCACCTTCCCAAACTGACACTCTGTCCCCATGAAATGCTAATTACCCCTCTGTCCCCCCAGCCCTGGCCCCCCATGCTCCACTTCCTGTCTCCATAAGTCTGACTCCTCTGGGGGCCTCCTGTGGGTGGAATCTTGCAGTATTCGGGTCGCCCATGTTGTGGCAGGGGCCAGAACTTCCTTCCTTCCAAAGCTGAGTGGCATCGCAGAGTGTGATGGACCACACTGTGCTCGTCCAGTCCATCGTCTGTCGGCGGACACTTGGGTTGCTCCCAAGTGTGAGTTTTGGCCATTGTGAAGACAGCTGCTGTGAATGGGAGTGTGTGCACCTCTGCCTGAGTCTTTGCTCTGAATTCTCTGGGGCCTGTGCCCAGAAGTGGGACTGCTGGGCCGCTGGCGTTTCGATGTTTGATGTTTTTGAGGAGCCGCCATATACTGCTTCCCACAGCGGCTGCTCCATTCTCCATCCCCGCCAGCACTGCCTGAAGGTTCCGATTTCTCCACATCCTCACCAACACTTGCTATTTTCTGTTCTTTTTTAAAATAACAGACATTCTAATGAGTGTGGATTTATTTATATTTTTAATAACAAAAGCACTCAAAGAGTGATATCCTACAGGAGTGATAAATTGCACTTTTAAAGATGCAGCCTTAGTCCAGATGTGGCCGAGGATGGACCAGGAGACCTGGACTTGCAGGTGACCCCCTTAGAGTTACTTCTTTGCTTTGGGGCAGCTCCAAACCTGTTGGCTCTTTGATTTGTACGGGGCAAGGCTGGCAGCGACCCCTGTTGTTAGGGGAAACACAAGCGTTTGGAACACATCTGCGGATGCTCAGCACACAACGCCACGTGTTTCTGCTTAGCGACAAAAAGGTGGTCCTCGCTGTGGAAGTGCGTCTCTACTCACGTGGATGAACTGAAGTGTTTCTGATGGATCCCCGAGGTCAGGAGAGCAGAGGGTCCTTGAGCTCCACAGCCAAGGGCACCTAGCTAACAAGGGTCGCCTTTCAGGAGAGGTGACCTAGCCACAGCACGATGGCACTGGGCAGCCGAGAAAACACCCAGCCCAAGCAGATGGGTCTCGATCGTGGCATCTCACGAAGTCTCTCCACGATGATGCTTGGGCACCAGGGAAGAGGAGAGAGGGACTGAGGTCGAGGGCAAAATGTGGCCCGGTTTCCTGTCTATCAAAACCACGAGCAGAGACCTTTCTGCCATGGGAGATACCTATGGTATTCACTGTCTATTGCTGCACAACACGTTACCACAGATCTAGCAGCTGAAAAGAACACACATTTGTTATCTCAGTTTCCGAAGGTCAGGAGGCAGGGGGCAGTCTAACTGGGTCCCCAGCTTAGGGTCACCCAAAGTTGTGGTGAAGACCTCAGCGGGGACTGCGGCCTCCTTTGACGCACGGAATCCTCTCCCACACTCACACCGTGTTTGCAGAATTTATTCCTCGCAGTTGAATGACTAAGGTCCTGTGTTCATGTTGGCTGTCAGCTGAAGATGGGTCTCAACCCTAGAGGCTGCTTGCCACCCACTGCCCTGTGGCCCTGTCCACACCACTGTCCACACCAGTTAGTCTCCTCGAGGCCAGTCGGAGAAGCCCCCCTTTACTGCTTCACCTGATTAGGTCCGGCCCACCCTGAGCATTTGTCCTTTTGATGAACTCACAGTCAACTGATTAGAGACCTTAATCACATCTCCTAAATCTCTCCACCTTTGCCACCACAGGAGAAAAAATCCTTCACAGTCACAAGTCCTGCCCACATGCAAGGAGAGGAGACTATAAGCATGAATATACCAGGGGCTGGGGACAAATGCCATGAGGGCCATCTTTGAATTCTGCCTCACAGGCCTCTCAGACTGGCCAAGAGGGACATTTTTTATAATATGATGTTGGCACGAACACGGGCAAGCAGAGCCTCTCGCCCACTTGAGTGGGCACACAGAGGCACCTCTGGGTGAGAATCCATGGTTCCAAGGAGGTTCACGGTGGCACCATGTATGGTACAAAAGGCTGGAAAACAACTTAAATGCACACTGGCAGGGGCTGGGTAAGTCCATACTGCTGGCGCACATAGTTGCAGTTGTCAAACAGAGTGTGGATTTTAAAAAATAAATGCATATGGAAGGATCTCAGAGTGTGGGAGCAGCCTTCGAGATGGCCCTCAGTGACCCTCATCCCTGATACCTGTGCTCTTGCATGCTCTCCCCCCTCGCTGCATCCAGGTGGGTCTGTGTGGCCAGCAGGATATGGAAGCAGTGATAGTGTGTCATGGTGGAGGTTAGGTCATAAAAAGGTATCCTGGCTCCCGTCTTGTTCCCACTCTCTTCGGGTCACTCATTCTGGGGGGAGCTGGCTGCCATATGGTGAAAATTCTCCAAGGACACCCGATGAGGAAAGCTGGGGAGCAAGGAAGTGAGGCGTCCTGCCAACAACCAGCTTAGAAGTGAACCCTCCAGCCAGTGTGTCCTTCGGATGAGGCAGGCCATGCTGATGGCTTCACTGAGGCCTGAGGAGAGGCCTGGAACCAGAAGTATAGTGCCCAGCTAAGCCCCTCCTGGACTTGGGACCCACAGAAACCAAGATAATAAATGTTTGTCATTTTAAGTCACTAAATTTAGGGGGTGATTTGTTATGCAGCAGTAGCTAACTAATGCATAGAGATATTATGCTAAAGGGAAAAAACTAGGTGCAGAATCATAGATATAGAAGGCTACCATCTATGCAAAAATTTGCAAAAAGAGAAGTTCTATAATAGATACAAACAGTTTATTCCCCCAAAGGATAATTTAAAACACTGGCAGTGGTGGCTGCCTTCACATGGGAGGAGTCGAGAATTGGAGGGAAAATATTCACATTACCTTTCGTATCTTGTGGTGTCTTGTACGTTTTATACTCTGTGTGTGTGTGTGTGTGTGTGTGTGTGTGTGTGTGTGTGTGTATTTTCTATTCTGAACGAATGACTGAATATGTGATAAGGAAGGAAGGGAGGAAGAGAGGGAAAGAGAGGGAAGGAAGGAGGAACGACTCATTCACCTTGATCAAGGCCCTGGCAGCCTTCCGACAAGCCTCATAGTACTGCTTGAAATTCAGCACTTCCCATTTTTTGCTGTTCTTTGATGCGAGGGCTGGATAAATCCCAAATCGGCTGACTGACTCCCGAAAAAATTCTGGGATGGTTATCGGGGCCTCGTGGCCTGGCCCATGTTTTGATAGCCTCAGGAGGACTTCTCCATCTGCATGAATGGTCCACAGTCCGGAATTAAGAGGCACTATGTGTAAAAAAAAACAAGGCACATACTTTAATTTAAAAATGCTTTATTGCTAAAAGAAAATGCTAACCATCATCTAAGCCTGTTGGAAAAACGGTGCTGATGGACTTGTCGAAGCAGGGTCGCCACAAACCTCCAGTTTGTACGGACGCAGTGTCTGCCCCGTGCAGTGCAGAGGCAGACAGACAAGGGGTGTGCCTGCGCTCCGGACTGAGGGGCTGGAACCACGGACAGTCCCTCCCTCCCTCCCAGCTCTGGAGGCAGACAGCCCGGCCCGAGGTCAAGGTGCGGGCCAGTTGGTTCCTCCTGAAGCCGTGAGGAAGAAGACATTCCCTCCTCTCCCCTACCTGCCCTCTGGTGGTGGGCCTGTAATCTTTGGAGTTCCTAGGCTTGTGACAGAAGCATTACAAGCCTTCCTCTCCGCCTTCATCTTCACAGGGCATTCTCCTCGTGTCTGAATCTCCCCTTTTTATAAGGACAGCAGTCATACTGGATTAAAACCCATCCTATCAGCAATGGCCCGATTTACAAATTAGGTCACATTCTGAAGTACCGAGTAACTGCTGGGACTGCAACCTATGAATCTCGGGCTGCTATGATAAAATACCGTGACCTGGGTCCTTTAGAAACACCAGACATTTATTTTTCATAGTTCTGGAGGTGGGGAAGCAAAAGATCACATTTCCACCAGATCTGGTGCCCCTGCCTCCTGGTTCATAGACCTTGTCGTCTCACCGGGGAGGCAGCTGCCCTGCAGCCTCCCTGCAGCCTCTGTCACCCCAGCACCAATCCCACTTAGGAGGGCTCTCCCCTCATGACCTAGCACCTCCTAGTACCATCACCTGGGGGAGGGCAGGTGGGTTTCAACATGTTAATGGGGGGGACACAAACATTCAGACCATAGTTGGGGGGGGACAGAATTCAACCCATAACAAACTGCATCAAAGGAAGGCTGTTCAGAGAAGCCCCCCACCCCACAAGAAGGATCAGTGCTGGGGTTCTCACCAGCTTACAATGAAATCCCCCAGCGGAGCCGGGGTGCTGGGAGAACGTCACCCAGGAAATCAAAGCTCAGCTCGTCAGGCCTCCTTCGCTCCCTCACCCCCGAGGCTCCAGGTGTCCAGGGTGACACCTGGGAGAAAAGCTGTAAACTGGACAAAACTGTGGAGTGCGTCACCTGGACATGGGTGGGGATATTTTAATGACTGCAGTGGGTTGAACAGTGTTTCCTCCAAGTTCATGTACAGAAGCTCAGAATGTGACCTAGTTTGGAGATAAAGTCTTTGCAGGTGAAATCCACTGAGGATCTCACAAACACACCACCCTGGGTGGAGGGAGGGCCCTTTGTCCAATGACTGGTGTCCCAGAAGAAGAGGAGAGGACATCGAAATGCACTGAGTAGAAGGCCAAGCAGAGAAGACAAGCGGAGACTGGATGGTGTAACCGAGGGACGCCAGGGCCACCGGCAGCCACCGACAGCCACCGGCAGGATGGGAGAGAGGCTTTGTCACCGCCTCCAAGAGGAACCAACCCGGCTGACACCTGGATTCTGGGCTTCTGGCCCCAGAACCGGGCAGCTGAACATTTCTGTTGTTTCAGCTGCATGGTCCAGAGAGCTTTGTTACGGCAGTCCAGGGGGCTAACACAGCAACCAAATGAGATTTTGAAGATTATTAGTGTTGAGAATGACTGTGAAACTCATTTTTCTCACCAACGTTTTGCCCACGTGGAGAGGGCAGCTGTGCAAGAGTGAAGGTGCTTTACCATCACGTGGTGCACCCTGCATAGTTCAGGCACTAAAACAGTTACAACACAGTGATAACACGTCACTGTTACCGCATCTGCACTGCAGGTAGCGCTGTGTGAAATACAGTGAGCATTGCATCTCCACTGCAGATGCTGTGTCTGTCCTACATACCACATCTGATCTTCACATGATATTCTGCACTGTGTATATAATTACACCTGCACTATACGTATGTACATACATACTATTACCTCTTCTATGCATATGCAGGGCTGGCAGAGCGGGCTGACCAATGACAGGGAAGCCCGCTGTGCCACAGCCCGCTGGAAAGTGGCAGGCAGATTCCGAGAACCTGTAAGTGATGTGGGCCAGCAAGCAGAGCACTTATAAGAGTATACCTAAGTGCAACGTGCCAGCGCAACACTCTTTTGAGTTCAAAGAGCGATAGTAATGATCACAGCTCTGTGAACTACTGTAAAAATACTCAGCCCGCTCCAGATTACACCTGTACTATGTATATATCACATCTGCACTACATGTACCACATCCATACTGTATTCACTGTATCCACACTACATGGACCACATCTGCACTGTATTCACTGTATCCACACTACATGGACCACGTCTGTACTGCATTCATTACATCTGCACTATATGTAGTATATTTACACTGTATATCTGCACTACATGTGTAACATTACATCTGCAGAATATATGTATATACACAATTTTATCTGTGCCACATGCATTATCATAACTGCATTATACATGTACATAATTATATTTGCACTATACATACTATTAAGTCTGTGCCATAAATAAATACATTCACCGTATATATATTATAGCTGCACTATGTATATAATTACATGGGACATGTGTGTGTGTGTGTGTGTGTGCGAGTGTGTGCATATGGTCCCCTCCACACGGACTCAACCCCTGACAGGCAGCGCCCTTTTCGGGGTGCTGTGATACACACAGCACGGAAGAGGCTCTGAAATCCCAAGCCTGCGCTCCTCCTTGGCAGTAGTGGCCCCCCTCCCCACCCTGTCTGGGGGCCTCAGGCACAGAATGGCTGTGTCCTGACCCTCCCGACTGGGCTCCTGGAAGATGAGCCCGGGCCGAGCCAGCGCGCCTTCCTCTCTCCCACCACCTGCCTTTTGTTTTACTCATGTCTCCTTCAAGGTCCTCAGCCTCCTTTTCTTGAGCTGCTGGGGTTTCCGCCCTTCTGGGTCCACAGAGACCATTCTTCGCAGTGCTGCAAGGCACAAAGGGGGACTTAGTAGGACTGACTGCTGAAGGGGCTGCGGACGGAGGCCGACTCAGGCCCACGGGCGTGTCTGCGTGGAGTCCCCGGGTCATCATCAGTCCTGGCTGCTCTGGGCCTACGAGGGGAGGAGAGCGGCCCGCGTGCCAGAGCGACTGTGGGGTCTGGAGAGCATTCAATCTGTGAGTTTCCCAGAGTCTCTGAAACGTTGGAATATAGGGGTCAAGTCCATAAGCGATCCTGCAGGTAAGAAGGTTTTGGAACCTCCCCAGAGAAGGCACCTGACCTCCCAGCCCCGCCCTGGGCAGCTGGGCGGAACGAACCTCAGCAGCGGAGAGAAAAGAACTACTGACAGGACCAGCCCAGCGAGGCTCAGAGGCGTTACACTGAGTGGGAGAAGACAGATTCGAAAAACCACACGCTTTACGATTGCATTTATGTCACTTCCCGGAAAAGGCGAAACTGTCGCGATGGAGAACAGGTCTGAGGTTGCAGAGGGCAGGGGTGGGGGGCGGCCGCAGGAAGACGGAGGGGTCGCCTCCGCGGGGGGGGGGGCACCTGCGGGAACTTGGGGGGCGATGGAGCGCAGTGCCCGGGCCGCGCTGGCCGTCACAGGGCTCCACGCACTTGTCAAACCTCATGGAACTGTACACCAACAAAGTGAACTCTGGGAAAAGTGCACTATACATCTTAAAATGAACAATTCAAAAATATTCTGTGGCTAAGGCATTGGGTTTTCAGGTATTATTAAAGATAAAATGTAAGGAGAAAATAACTTATTGGCAAATAGCTCCTCATTTCCTATATAAACCTGGGTCTTGTTCATATGTCAGTTATGTATTAGTTGTTAAAAAAGTGTCATCTCTTCCACAGACACGTTACATGGTGATAGCATTCCATCAGCCTAAAAAGAAAAATTTCCTATAGTCGATTAAAGCTGAATAAATGAAGGTTTACCTTGGCAAACTAAAAACAGAGAAAAAGTGTATTTATTATACACCAAAATTGCATATAGCCCCCGCAGAGTGAAATTTAGGATAAAATATTACAAATAATAAAAATGTAATGGGAGGTCTATGTCTCACCAGGCACCAGGATAAACTGTTTGTGGCTACCATAAAGGGTACTCAGAAAGTGTCTGTTTTCACCGAGTTGGAGTTGGAAACAGAGCACCCAGTAGGGCAAACCAAAGTAAACAGGAAATATCACAGAATCATTCACCGGACAGTTGCTTAAACTACACGCAAAGGACCGTCACTGCCGCACTGTCCGGAGGGGAAAAGACTGGAGGAAAAGCAGGCGTGCAGCAATGGAGGACTAGTGACGGACACCGTGGAACCTCCCTGCAGTGGGGGCTCCGGATCCGGGGAAACGCCAGGAACGCACACCCACATTCGCAGCAGCACAGTTCTCGGAGCCAAAGGCCCGTCGACGGATGAATGAATGACAGAACGCGGTCCGTGCACACGCTGGAGCGTCACTCGGCCATGAAAAGGAAGGAGATTCTGACAGTCACTTCAGCGTGGATGGGCCTGAGGACATGCTGCTGGGTGAGAGAAGCCGGACACAAGAGGCCGCGCAGTGTGTGATCCCGCTCACGTGAAGTGTCCGGGACGGGCCCAGCCACAGAGACAGGGGGTGGGCGAGTGGCTGCCGCAGCTGCTGGGTGGGAAGTGGCTGTTTCCTCTGGAGAGTGATGAAAATGTTTCAGAACTAAATAGAGGTGATGGTGGCACAGGATCATGAATGTACTAAATGCCAGCGAGCTGTTCACTTTAAAATGGTTAATTTTATCTTATGTGAATCTCACCTCAATTAAAAAAAAAACACCAGAAAAGTTGTTCATTGTCACTGAAATGGGATGTTCCTCAAGACACAAACAATAGTAAATCAAAAGATCAAGTAAATCAAATGACTCAAGAAAAAATGTGTCTGTCTATGGTCTAGGAAGCCATTACCTCCTTTTCGATCACAATGCAAAACGCAGGCTATCTGACCCGAGCGCTGACCACTGATGCCCTGAGAAGGGGAAGGTGGATCGAGCAACAACAGGTGTGGTATCATGAAGTCCCCAAGAGCCTGCAGCCATCGGGGGCCAGGTCTGAACTCTTACAAACTTCACCACTGCCAAGAACCTTTCCTGCCTGCTCACCGAGAGAGGAGGGGAGGGTTTGAGCCTGGGTCTCAGCTGTTCTCTTTCCCAAGTGTCTCCTGAACAGCTCCTGTGTGCAGGCAAGCATTCCAGGCCCTGGGGACAACCCCCCACCCCAGAGTTGACAAGGGGAGAAATAAACAAAGATCAATTCAGAGAATAACAGGATGAGCCTTGAAAACATCATGTTGAGTGAAAGAAGCCAAAAGACACATTTGGCCTCCCCCCCACCCCGATCTGTGGGGATACGTTCCGAGACCCCCCCCCCATGGAGGCTGAAACTGCAGATCGTACTGAACCGATTCACAATTTTTTTCCTACACACACATCTATGATGAAGTTTGATTTATAAATTAGGCACAGCAAGAGATTAACAATAACTAATAATAAAATAGAATAATTAAAATATATACTGTAATAAAAGTTATGTGAATGCACTGTCAAAATATCTTATTGTACTGCCGCCCTCACCCTTCTTCTTGTGATGATGTGAAATTGACACAGAGAGATCTGATTAAGACAACTGGGATTGCAGGGGAGAAGTAGGGAGGGGCTGTAGAGGAGTTTGCTGAGGCAACTGTGGGGAGTCTAGGACAGGATTGGCTGAGAAGCTGAATGCCTGTGGAGCCAATGGCAACAAAGAGGGCGGGCTCTCTAGCTCCTGAGCTGGCTCAGGCTCTGGCTCTGGCTCTGGCTCAGGCTCAGGCTCCTCTTCCTCAGGGAGGCCTGAATGATCGTGCTGCAGCTGCCTGAATTTCCCAACAGATGGTATTTTGGATGGGAAGGAACTCTGGGCACAGCCTAGGATCAGGCTGGCCTGGCAGAGGGTGGCAGGTTTATTCTCTGGGTGTTCTAGAATGAACAGGCTCTGAGGCAGAAGCCTGCCATTCTTCCAAAATTGTGTAGTTTTTGTATATTATATTGTTTTTAGTTTGCAAACTAACCCTATAGAAACAAGATAACTAAAAACTAATGGGGAAAAAGATAGAGCTCAGGTGTTAGAGTTTAGCCTTAATTGACAGGCTTAAGTGATTCTGGCTGTGACTTGATAGGCCTCAGTAACTGCTTTTGAATAAAGACTCCTTTCCATCGTCACCAAACCTTTGCCTCTGGAGTTTTTGCCTAGAGGGCAGTGGCGGTGGGCAGCAGAACCCCAAGTACTGTTCAATAAGATGATGTAATGCCTATGTGATGAGATGAAATAGGGTAGATTTCCATTTAATATTTTTGGATTGTAGCACGTGAAACCACAGGTAAGGTACACTGCTGTACCAAATGACTCCATTTTTGTGAAATGTCCAGAACAAGCAAATCCATAGAGACAGGAGGTATATCAGAGTTTGCCAGGGGCTGGGCAGGGGCATGGGGGTGATTGCTAAAGAGGGTGGGGTTTTCTTTTGGGGTAATGAAAATATTTTAGAACTATATTTAGCAGCAACAAAAGCACTGGAAGAATTCCCATGAAGTCAGGATTAAGACAAATAAATCGGCTATCACTGCTATACTATTTAGCACCGACCTGAAGGTTTTTAGCCAATGCAGTAGGATAAGAAAAAGAAATTAGAGGAATAAAGATTGGAAACAAATAATATTGTCATATTCCAAATAATTTGAGTGCCTATACTATCCTGTCAACTAAGAAGCTATTAAAAGTGAGAGTTTTGTAAGGTAACAAAGCAAAAGATCAATATTCAAAAATCAATAGTTTTCTTGTATGCTGGCAGCAACCAATAAGAAATTCAATAGGAAAAGATACTGAGGGTCCCACTCAAGGCCAGAATGTGCGTCTGTGGGGAGTCCAAACCCTAGAGAAGTACAGTGCTGAATGACAGACGCTGAACCCCACAGGGCCCCACGTGCCCCTCTCCCGCACCACTGGCACCTGCCACTCCTCACGAGGTGTGGGTCTGACCGCCACAGCAGGGCGCTGGTGGCTGAGGCATCTGGACACTCAAGGTGTTTTCTTCTTCCACAAAGGTGCTAACCGAGTTGCCTCTCCTGGAAACCAGAACATGTGCTGTCTTTTCCCAGCCCTTGTCCCTGTCTGGGTCCAGCCAAGATAGTGGGAGTGACCAGAGGCAGGAAGGCGGGCAGTTTCCCTCCCTGAAAGCTATTCTAGCCCCCTTCAACCTTCCAGAACCTTCTGTCCCCAGCCACCTCTTGTGACATCACTGGCTGTCCCTGCCTCCCCACCCCACCCCCACCCCTGGAAGAAAATACTTCCTGGGCAGGAGGATGGCAGTTTTCTTTTCGCTAGCTCGTGCGTGCATGCACTGCACTTCTGCGTGTGCTGGTGAAGTTTGTATGGAGCCACCGTCCCCAGGTCGGGCATCGTGCTAGATGCTGGGGACACAGAAATGAGCAAATCCAGATGGGTCTGTCTAGGGAATAGCAGGAAAACCCAGAATTGTGCAAACAAGTGCAAACTTACAATCATGCAGGGAAACCCCAGGTGTGAGAGAGGTCTCTCAGCAACCTGGAGATCTGGACAGGCCCTTGACCTGAGATGTAAAGGAGGACGGATGTTAGCCCTGAGCGCATCGCCTCCTGCCACACGGCCCTGCTCCAGGCGCCTTCAGTTGGCACCCCCGTCTGGTGAGAAAAGTAAGCCCATAGTTTACAACCTGCTTTTGTTAGGTTTTCTTTTAGGTACAGTCAAGTGCTAACTTACAACCTCCAAATGACATTTCTGGGCTGACATTTTCATTTTTTATTTATTTTTTAGACAGGTGAAAGGAAAGAGAAAGAGAGGGAGAGAAGCATCAATGTGAGAGAGAAACATTGATCAGTTGCCTCTCGTACGTGCCCTGACCAGGGACTGAACCCAAGACCCAGGCAT